TTTTATTACATCAAACATTAGCACATTAAAACATCAAATTCATGGTACTGAAAAAAATTTGAGGAACAAACTTGGCCAAGATCTACGATATGATAGCTCCATCTAGTATTATTGCGATCACAACCAGTTACGACATGCCATTCATGACTTTCTATTGCAGGATAAACTATCTTTAGAGGCATTTCTCATACTAGCTCTTTCAAGCGAGCTTCAATAAGATCCACAATAGCCATAGATTGCTCTCGGGTAGTAAGAGAAGCTAAAATAATAACGTGATTACCTAAAGCAAACCATCAGAAATCCATCCTTATAGGACTTACATTGCGTATGAAGTAGCCGCCTCCACAAGGCATAAAATCAAATACCTAATCAAAAATTGATTCAAGGATAACATTGAACTTATTCACTGTTGTATGAGAGTTCCTCCATTTTATACGAGGACATGTCATTTAGTTGTTGGAAATCAAGCCAGAAGTAACTCCGTATGTGATAACTCAATGCACGCAAACATAGCACAATTCTCTCGATGAACTCTTTTCCTTACGTATCATGTTTTAACATTGACAAAGCACATCTCAACGCTATAAAGAAAAGTACTTGAATTTTCATAAGATAACCATAAATTTCATGTAAAAGAAGTAATACAAAAAAATGATATAATATAAGTTTTTTTTTAAAAAAAATCCAATTTTCAATGTCATGAAATATGCATAAGGGAAGAAAAAGTGAGGAGTTTTTGGAAACAACCACCCACTACAGGCACATTAATAGTTTTAAGATCTCAACTCACTGAGCCTTTTTATGCAGCATAATGTCCTTGTAGTAACAAAGATAAAATATGAGGAAGTAATAGATACTAGAATACTTTAGAAAAATGCTAATTAAAAAAAGAAGAATGTTCTCAACCAAGCATGGAAATGAAACTGAAAATAAGTTAAACACAATAATAAATGATCACAAGTAAGAGGCAAATCATTATAGAAAAAAGTACAAACTCACAAAATACAAGAATTTTTTAACTAGATCTTATACAAAAAGTTAAAACTGAGTGAACTGACAGATAAGTTGTGAAAAAAGTTTTCTAACGCTAGAAAGGAGATAATAAAAAAACATGAAATGTTCATATAAAACAATAATTTGAGTCCAAAGTATGAAATCCTAAATAATTAATTGAAATGTGATCAAGACGCAATGCAAGACTTCTTCCCAACTTTAGAAAGATTTCCCTAACAAAATTTTCCTTCCAAGTTTCCCAAAGAAAAAGATATTCCAAATTTTATGACGAAGACCCAAATTTCTGAGCATTCCTAAAAAACAAGGTTTTGATGTCCAAAACATTTATTCAAGGTAGGAGAGGATAAAGCAACTTAGATATCAGCTCTCCTGCAAAGGACGAGGCCTCAGAAGCGAAAAAGCATTATATCTTACCTCTATAAAGCTCTAAAATTCAATTAGTTAATAGTTACGATAAAATTTATTACCATAATTAGATTGCACAGCTAGATATGCTGGAAGGCAAAATCTAATATCTCCTATTCTGGTAATCAAAAACTACCATTTTCTTAATAAAATGAGTTTGCTACTAGATTTAGCATTTTAGGTACTCGAAGCATAAAAAACTAGCAATAACCCTACCAAAATTAGATAAATTATTTGCCATAATCCATATACATGATACTTGTTGATAAGTAAATTTCTATGAATCAGAATTTCTCATCTATGATGTCATTCATCAAGAAATATTTATCATTCTAAATAGTGTAGATCAGTCATCAAGCATGATTTATCAATCTAACTAGAATGGACACGTAATAAATCACTATTTGGCCTCCCATTTTATGTCTTGGGTGTATAAATGGTATAACATATGGTGCCAAATTTTGATAGAATAAAAGCACATGGTCGACCAATTTTTAATCTCATGATAGTAGTATTCTAAATAATAAGGAACAGTTAGCAAATATAAATGTCGATAAACATGAACACTACACATGACACCCAGCTTATACAAGTTTCAGAAACTTGAACACAAGCACACTAATGGTGTATTGATGGATCTAGTGATGAAATAAATCACAGTGGTAGCCTACCATTCTTCGATCGATCATAAAACATCCATCAGCACAAAGAAGGTTCGAAAATGTATCAAAACCTTCTAATAGGCATAGAGTTAAGATAAGCTTCATCCCTTTCTGACATTCTAGTGTCTCTGCTAAAGATAAATCCCCAGTAGACTTTGTATATGCACAGAACAGAATAATCCATCAAAAATCAAAGTCAACTGGAGCAACTCTTCCAATCGCACTATGATAGGTCCTAATTATAATAGAAAATCAAGAACGTTTTTTCTCTTAGGGTGAGAAAAAACCATGCTTTGATTACTGAATTTTCAACCTCCCATTCTTTAAATACAAACATGCTTAAATAGAAATTACCATTAACTGCTTCCTACTATTCAGTAGGCATGTATTAGGAATATAAGTGTTATGTCCACGATGCAATTATTCGTGTAATATATTAAATAGATTAGTATTTGATAATTTATTTTAATATATGATAATAATATTTTTATTATCATATTTATTATCTTATTGTTTAATTTATGTAATAAAATTTTTAATTAAATTTATAGATTTTACATCAAGATGAAAATCTTGATAATAAAAATAAAATCATTTATGATTTAGTTTAAAATATTATTAGTCATTAGATCATCAAAATAGAATATTGATGATCCGATAAAACTAATATATATGTGATAGTTTTTATAAGATAAAGATTAGTTGATCTCATTAACTAAATTACATATATATATGATGTATATAGAGATACGATCATTGAATCGACCCAATTGAGAATTTTTAATGGTAAATATTAATTTAAACTATTAATAGAATATTCTCTTAAAATAATTATACGTAAAAATTTTCTTTAATCTGAAATCATCATAATAATTGACAAGTTATTTATTATACTTTGATTATACGCACCTATAATCATATAATTATAATTGAAATGATATTTGGTGCAATTAAATACTTATAAAATGAATAATTGATCAAGACAGAATCTGTAAATTTTGGTAATAAGTTAAGGTATATGTTGTTATTTATTATAACGACTAAATTAAAACCTTATGTAGAACAGTTGAATGAAAGAATAAAAGAATTTTTTATATTATTCATTAATCAATTATAATTGATATGAAACATATTTAGTTATCTATTAGGATTTGACAGTTAAAGTATATCATAGAGTTAACCCGAAACAATAATGACGGAAGAAAATATTATATCTTTTTTAATAGATTTTTAGGAGTAATTATACATTGCACACTAACGAATATTCTGATTTTTTCAAAATAAATTAATTATTTAATAATTAAATTAAAAAATTTAAGTTAATTAATTAAATAAAAATTTTAAATTAAATAAAATATTATTATATTTGTTACTAATACTGGTAATATAATTAATATTAAAAATAAATTAATTTTTTTTATTTTAAAATAAAAAATTAATATTTATATTTTTTATTATATTATTATTAAAAAGGCAATATATATATATGATATATATATATATATGTATAATTGAGTGTTAAAAAGAAAAGAAAAGAAAATAAAATAAGTCCAAATTGATTTGGACCGTGTACAACAGGAACAAGTCAAAAAGAATATGAGCACCTATGGCACCTATATATATAAAACCAGTGGGGATTGCAAAAGGAAAAAAGAAGAGCTAAAAATAAACTAGCAGCACACCGAAAGAAAAAATATTGGGAGAACTTTTTTATTAAATTTTTTTTAATATAAATATTATTCAATTTGTTTATAAATTCTGGTGATCAAAGAGTTAATTAGTAAAGATAGTTTCGATATTCATGCATAAATATTCATATTTTTAAATAATTTTAATTTAATAATTTATTATTAATATATTTTAATTAAATTTAATATTTAACTTGTAATATAATTTTTAAAATATAAATAGATTATATTAAATTATTTTACAATAATGTGTAGCATTGATCTAGATAAAAAGAAAAGGAACTGCAAAGATAACTACTCTGCAGCTGCTTGAGAAACTACCATGTTTCCCATTCGTGGAGAACTGCTTGTGTCCCACGTCCTTTATCTCAAAATATTTGGGGTTTGGTACTAGTCGTTGCTGTAATCTTTGTGTATCATTACTCCTGTCATTATGAGAACCTTGTCTTCTGATGTTATACTCATTAAAATTTTCTCTAGTATTTTTTCATGTGTCACTCTTTTATACAAATAGTTATTGAATGTCAATCTTCTGCAACGTATCCCTCCGCGCACATCTCCACGAGGCAGATGCATATTTGCTTTTGATTTGCACTTCTTCTATTCATAGACAGCAACCCAAAATATTATTTATTATTGCTGGATTCTCTCAATATTATTGTTATCATTTAATTATTGTAAATGTCATTTGTATCATATCATTTATAAACCTAGAATTCTCGTCTCATTTTTAATATCAATGCTTGTGTAAATACATACACAAAAGTTTCATGCGCATTGCTTAGACAAAGATTAAAAGATGTGAATTTGGAGATATAGAGGTAGCTAGCTGTGTTGTGTATATGTGAGGAGGACTCAAAAGACTCATATTCATTTCATTTATTAGGAGAGGTGAAGTGGATTTTCCATTTACTGCTTTCTCAAATAATAATATCTCACGTATACAAATTTGTTTTAAACGAAGGGATAAAGATAAAAAAAAAAAAAAAAAAAAAAAAGAAACACTCAAAGAGGTTGACGGGTGAGCACCATCTCCCTCTGCCTGCTCAACCATGTGCTTAAATTTAAATATTCTACCAATTCTCTTTATAAATTTCAAAAATAGATTATTTTATATTACAACTGTTTGTCAAACATATTCAGATTAAAATTTTGCTAATTTATGATTCTGTATCATTTAGATAGAAAACTAAGACACCCGATAAGCAAAAATTATTTGAATAAAGTCAGATTTTCCCGCCAAGAAAATGGATTCCTGAGAAAAACCACTCACTCCATGCACAACCTAATTTAGCAAGCAAACATGTCCAAAACAGTGAACGTAAGCAGTCCGCCAATCATATAAAATCAATGAAGTTTCATACCACATAAAACAAAACCTTTGCTCAGCCATTTCCGCCATAAACTTTAGATGGCCTGTTCCAGAGCTCCAACAAACAGCAAAACGTACCTTTTATTTCAGACCATGAAGCTAGTCTTAGCAGCAGATGCTATTGTACAGAAGAAGAAGAATGGAAAAAAAAAAAAAAAAAAAAAGACCCAAACTTTGAATCCAACCTACCAGGAAAGATGCCAAAAGAATCCTGTTGTAATGGAATATACCAATATTTGCTCTTGCCTGTGTGTGTTGTTGCCCTATTCTTTCTGCTATTTCGGGTGTGCTTGCTTTGCTTGGGTTATTCAGCAAGTCCAAGATGATGATCTCTTAATCACCGGCTTCATCTGTTTGTCCTCTTCCAAGGAAATCATTCCCAAGTGAGAAGGATCCTCCAACATCATCTTTGCCACCAAATATCCAGCTATTGACCATGTTTGGTATTTTCTTGCTTGTTTACCTATAAACCTTCCAGTTTTCCCATCGTAATATTCTGGCCAGCTATCTTTCAGCATACGTGTCTCGGCAAGATCAATAGCACGTCTTGCAATTTGAGGCCGCCCAGTTTTAATGCAAGCAGCAGTTAGTAGCCAAAGTAGCACTGCATCCAATAAAAGAGGGGGAAAAACAAATATTGCATGTGAAACAAAATGAATTTCCTCTAGTAGACAAAGAGCCAACATAAAAAAAAATTGAACTATTAGCATTTTCCTCCTTTCAATGTGGAAAACTCATCCACCAAGACCTTAACGATTAGAAAAATTGTCATTAATCTATCCTTGAATTATCGATGAATGATGGACCAGGACAACTCAGTGCTCTGAATAATGTATGATTTTGGCACACTGACATGGCCACACGGAGTCATGAAGTTTTAAGCTACGAATAACTAAGTAATGGTCCCTTTTTCTGAAGAAAATGCCATCTTTTCGGAAGAAAACCTGAATGTAAATTTTTCTAAATTGTTGCCTTGTCTTATAACTTATATATAAATAATCACTGTTCATATTAATGCAAGTAAAAAAATTGAAGTTATTCTATATAGTTTAGTGTAAGCTATTAGGTGATCATAGAAAGATAAGAAGAGGAATCCACTCCCTTTAGCATTCTCATTTATATAAAATAAATGTGGTTTTCTAACATTCATTGAATGACAAAACAAAATATTCACCAAATAATCCCATGATACTTTCTACTGCATGTAGTGCCTTTATAGAGTCCTACAATACTTCAGAGCTTAGTTTCTGTTTCTATGTTTCTAAAATCAATTCATGGACTCATTAACAAATTTATGGTTACCATCAAGCAATTTTATCACGTCAAACATTATCACATTAAAACATCAAATTCAGGGTACTGAAGAAAATTTTAGGAACAAACCTGGCCAAGATCCTCCGTTATGATAGCTCCATCTAGTATTCTTTGGATCGCAACCAGTTACAATTCGCCATTCATGACTTTCTATTGCAGGGTAAGCTATCTTTAGAGGCATTTCTCCTACCAGCTCTTCCCAGCGAGCTTCAATAAGATCCATAATAGCCATAGATTGCTCTGGGGTAGCAAGAGAAGCTAGAATAGCAACACAATTACCTAAAGCAAACCATCGGAAATCCATCCTTGCAGGACTTACATTGCCTATGAAGTAGCCGCCACGACAAGGCATAAAATCAAATACCCAATCAGGAATTGAATCGGGGATAACATTAAACTTATTCACTGCCGTATGAGAGTACTCCTCTGTTTTATACCGGTATATGTCATTTAGTTGTTGGAAGTCAAGCCAGAAGTAACTCCGCATGTGATAACTCAATGCATGTAAACGTTTCACAATTCTCTCAATGAACTCTTTTCCTTCCGCATCATGTTTTAGCATTGACAAAGCACATCTCAAAGCCATAAAGAAAAGTGCTTGAATTTCAATAGGATAACCATAAATTCCCTGTAAAAGAAGCAATGCAAATAAAATGATATAATGTAAGCTTTTTTTTTAAATCCCGATTTTTAATGTCATCAAAGATACATAAGGGAAGAAAAAGTGAGTTTTTGGAAACAACCACCCTCCAGAGGCACAACAATAATTTTAAGATCTCAACTCACCAAGCTTTTAAATGCAGCATAATATCCTTGCAGTGACAAACATAAAATAAGAGGAAGTAGTAGAATCTAGAACACTTTAGAAAAATGCTAATTAAGAAAAGAAGAACATTCTCAACTAAGCATGGCAATGGAACTGAAAATAAGTTAAACACAATCATAAATAATCACAGGAGGAAGAAAAATCAAACAAGCAAGCAGCATCTACATCTAATGAGATAGTGAATATGTAAAACCAGTTGCTGAGAAGAAAACTCCGGAAAGGATGGGCAGTAACACAGATTGTTTTTCTCAAGTACCAGGTAACAAAATAAATAATTAGAGATAAAAAATACAAATCCACAAAATACAAAAATCTTCTAAGTAGGTCTTCTACACAAACTTAATACTGAATGAACAGACAGCCAAGTTATAGAAAAAGTTTTCAACATTAGAAAGGGGATAACAAAGAACATGAAAGACTCATACAAAACAATGATTCGGGTCCAAAGTATGAAATCCTAGATAATCAATTGAAATGTGATCAAGACGAAAAAACTTCTCCCCAGCTTTAGAAAGGTTTCCCTAACAAAAGTTTCCTTCCAGGCTTTCCCAAAGAAAAAGAAATTCAAATTTATGATGAAGACCCAAATTTCTGAGCATTTCTAGAAAAAAAGGGTTTGATGTCAACAGTTTCTACTCAAGGTAGGAGAGGACAGAGCAACTCAGATACCTGCTCTCCTGCAATGAACAGGTTTCAGAAGCAAAAAATCAATAGATCTTACCACCACAAACCTCTAAAATTCAATTGGCTTAAGGTTACTATAAAAACTTACTACCATAATCAGATTCAACAGCTAGATATGCTGGAAGTCAAAATCTAATTTTTCCTGCTCTGGTAATAAAAAACCACTGTTTTCTTTAATAAGATGAATTTGATACTAGATTTAGCATTTTCGTCGCTCGGAGCATAGAAAACTAGCAACAGCCTGACCAAAATTAAACAAATTATTTGCCATACCCCATACACAGGATACCTGCTGATAAGGAAAAAAATCTATGAAGCAGAATTTCTCATCTATGCTGTCATTCATCAAGAAAGATTTATCATTCTATATAGAGTAGATGTTTAACGTCATCATCAAGCACGATTTATCAATCTAAGTAGAATGGATATTTAAGGAACCACTGCTTGGCCTCCCGTTTTATGTTTTGGGTGTATAAATGCTATAACATATGGTGCCAAATTTGGATAGAATAGAAGCACATGGCCAACCAGTTTTTAATGTCATGATAAAGAGTACTCTAGATAATAACGAACGGTTGCAAACATAAGTGTCAACAAACATGCACACTACACAACACACACCCAGCTTGCACAAGCTTGAGAAACTTGAACACAAGCATGCTAATGATACATTGGATTAAGTGAGGAAACAGATCAGTGGCAGCTTACCATTCTCCGATCAATCATAGAACATCCATCAGCACAAAGAAGGGTCGGGAATGTATCAAAACCTTCTGATAGGCATAGAGTCAAGATAAGCCTCATCCCTTTCTGACATTCTGGTGTCTCTGCCAGAGATAAATCCCCAGTAGACTTTGTATATGCTCGGAGCAGAATAATCCACCAGAATCCAGAGTCAACTGGAGCAACTCTTCCAATTGCACTCTCACCAAAATCTGCAACGATAGTATCTGTTTTTCGCACGGGGTCGTGAAGTACTTTAAAACTAGCTGGCATTGCACCTTCCCCAAGCTTAAATCTGTCAATTCTTTTCTCCCAACCCTGAAGCTGGAGTGTCTTCAAGAGGAAGTTCTTAACTATGTCAGGCTCTCCGTTCATCAAGAAAGCCAGAGCGCTAGGAAACAAAATCTCGTACAAAAACCTGAACAGAAGTAATATCAAGTCGGTGTTTACAAGATTCAGTGAAATTATTAACCAGATTATTGTGGCTTTCCGTAATAGATACTGATTTTGGCGACATTAATCCATCACAGACTTCATACATATTTCAACTTTTTAATTAACTCAAATAATTTCCAAATTTTTATCATAAAAGAATTAGATTTTCCAATCTTGGATTAAAGAATAGCATACATCTCAGGAACTTGGCAAGTTTTCCACATGCAGTTCAAAGGATCCAACTGATTCAACCTCACAAAACCTCCACCCTATGCATTTCTATATCGGATTATCATATCTCAAAGTATAAAAAACAATGATTAGTTGTGTGGTCACAGTTGATCGTGTATGCTGCACAACGATCATAGTTTGGTTGAAACTCTCACCTGGTCATAGTTTAGAACCTCCTCAGAAGCATGGTCATAAGCAGCTATTGTGCCAACCGGTTGGCCCCTGAAGTACACCAAAGACCGACGAAGGGCATCCCAAGCTTCAGCCACCATTGGGTGAGGCTCGAAGGAGTTTCTGGTTGAAGAAGCTGGGGTGTCCAAGCCTGACCTTCCACAGGGTGAGTACGTGCTATCATAAATGTCATGGCCTCCTCTTGTGAGGCCAATGGATAGCTCACTAAAGGACCTCTCATCGAATGATCTCTTTCTCTCAATGTTAATCCTTGGCCTGTCCAGGAGGCGGGAGAGATCAAAATCATCCATCTCAGAGATGGAGCAATGTGAGCCTACATATTTAAGTCCATACTCTCTTGTCCCATCCATTTTCTTTGGATTCCTTGATGAACGGCAACACTCTTTTTGAAAACTGAGAGAAAAAATATGATTAAAAAAAAAAAACGAGTGATTATTAGGATTAAATAAGCAATACAATAATAAAAGTTTAAGGCCTTATCCATGTAAACCAGGAGTAGAAAGAGAAGGAGTCTAAATAAAGATATTGTAACTGATGATATTTACAACTAACAACAAAAAAAGGTAAACCACTCTTATCCGTTAAAGAAAAGCTATTTTTTCCTATAAGAAAATAAGTGAAGAATTAGAAGAAACATCAAAATTTTGATGCCAAGGAGATAGACCGTTCAAATGATAAGAAATATGACATAGAAAATACCTAGTAATTTAACCTATCAACAAAATTTCACAGATTTACACATAATGCACAAGGAGAAGAAGCATTCCGTTCTGTACTGATAAATTATACAGGGCAAATATCTTCCCAAAATATCCGAATTTCAAAGAAATTTACCAACGGGGAAAATATTAGCGCGGTGAAAAAATTAACAGCAACAGATCAAGATCCATAAATAAAAACAGTAAAACAAAGTCAATATCTAAAAAGAAAAAGTATAATAGAGTAAACAGGCGGTCTTCTAGAAAATTAAAAATGAACCATAGAAGAAAAAGAAGTCCAGATCTAAAAGCTTGAAAAAATAAGATCAAATAGCGAAAACGAAAGAGAATGACTCTAAAGGTGGAAAAATAGAGCTTGAAATGGAAGAGCAAACCTCGGAGAGCAGAAAATAGCGGAGGAGGCTGTTTGTCCGGCGGCAACGAAATCACCGGAGATGTCGCCGGAAAACGGCCGGCGAAGATAGGAGGAGTCAATAGTAGAGAAGATAAAATAGAGAAAACGAGAAAAGCGGAAGAAAAAAGGATCAGGTGGGTAAGAAGCTGGTATTTATACGGAGAGAAAAGCAAAGACTATTGAAAGAGAGAGAGAAGAGGGGGTTGAAGGCAACGATACAGTCTCTCTCTTGTAATAGAGAAAGTTTACCTGGAACAGCCGGTGAAGGGAGCACGAGGGGGAATTAATTAAGATCCACGTGGAGAAAACGACACCGTGCTGGCAGTGCTTGCATACTCTTGTCTGATTTGGCTATTGAACTTTTCACTAGTGAACTTGGTTTATCGGTTTCTGGTTTGTTCGGTTTTGACTAATTTAATGGCACGTCAGGTGGCGAATTATTAAATATTTATTACATATGTATATATTCACACATTTGTTTATGACAGCTTAATGTAACCTGTCCATGTACGTTATATTTTTCACAAGTGGCTGTTGTTGGCGTCATTTTTTACGAGTATTTTTGGGGCATTACCATGTAAAATATGCCACTTGACTTGGTGAAAACAACCCTAAACCGAATAATTAATTAAGCAAATACCAAATTTAGTTTGATTAATTAATTTAATTAGATGTATTTACTTTTCTCAAGTCATTAATGTTATAGTACACTTGGATTTGCCTTGTTACTTCAATCGTTGCTTAAATTAATTTTCATACTAAATTGAATTTTAATTATATTCTGAAATTAAGGGACAATAAATACAATTTCAAATTTAAATTTTAATAAAAAATTAAAATCACTCGAGTGCAGTCATCAGTAATTTATTTAATTTCAAAAAAATTCACAAATATCGTTAGTTTAAGTGAAAATTATAATTTTATAAATAATTTATTTTTATTCTATTTAACATAATTATTTAATGTTGAAGTTATTTATATACATGTATTGATCAATAAACATGTGCTTTACATTTTTTATTTTTTTTGGTATATAAATTTTCTAAATTTACATATCCACTAATTCAATTGTAATTATTGTTAGTCTATTATTTTATTACATTTACTTACATACCATTTAATTTATTTATTTTTTATCTTTGTTTGTTCATAGTTAAATTGACTTATTAATTTAACAAATATTGACTGACGGTCAGAGAGCGAGATTGCAGAATTTCGTATTAACAACAACCGGCGTTATATACAAAGGATATACATACGATTGTTACAAAAAAATAAAAAATAAACAAGTGTAAGGATCCCAAAAGTATAGGAAGAATCTAAAAGAAGATTCCTTCTGTAAAATGACAAAACTACCCTTATAAAATGTAAAATGTCTTCTTTTTTTTTTCTTTTTTTTTTACTGCGGTAAAAATAAGTACACGTAAGGGTGAGTTTGCTTGGCAATCTGAAAAGCTGGAGTCCACGTGACGATATCATTTTAGGAAACACGATTGGAAAATGTTAGCTTTCGTCCGCCAAACTCGCGCGTACACGCAAGGTTTCCTATTCCGATTTACACTACAACGTAGACAGAGAAAAAGTCTTCCTTTTTTGATTTTTCTTGTTTCCTGTTTCGGGTAGTAAAAATTGACTAGACTATTACAAGACAAATTGAATTTTAATTCTTTTAATTAAATAATTTTTTTTTTAAACAAAATATATTTTATTTACAAACAAATATTATTTGATATTTGATGGAGTGAGTACAGTACGATAATACCAATTAGTTAATTAAGGAAAGTTATTAGGTGTGTCGTTTTCGATATATATCCTGATCCCAAACTTTCTGGTATATTTCAATTTTGTTGACTTTATAAATATGCATTAGATAAAATGGGTGAGCCTAGCCACATTCTAACAAAATTTCAGGCACTTTTTTAGTTTCCTAATTATTTATTAAATTACCAACATATTTTCCATTAAAACGATTTATATGAATGGCTGGCATTATATATGACAAAATATGTGCACCCACGTACCTATGAATAATTAAATACTTGTCTATAAAAAAAAGAAAAATAAAATACATGTATATATCTCTCTAAATAAAATACAAATGTGCACACATATAAAGTTAAGTCCACTGTCTCAAATTGGGCACGAAATTAAGGAGCGGCCGGCCACTACATTAATGTTACTTACTATTTAATTACTCTTCTATTTCTTGCGTACGATAAAATCAATTCCGTATTCCTTTTTTAAGTTTATATGTACAATATTAATTTTTTAAAAAAAAAATCCAAAAGACTAGTTCGGTACAAAAGCAAAATTTTACAATGATATTTTCTTAAAATATATTATAATTTTGAAAACGTAAAAGTCAAATTACCCACACGATTAACCCATCAGTTTGGTGATTACGGTGGTAATTAATGGTTAATGGTACGGCTCAATTAAGAATTTGGTTGATAATTAATAAAGGGAAATAAACGACCAAAACGGGAAAATATATAATTACAGAAGTGTTGCACGCAAATTTCTTGTTAAGACAACTTGCCCAATTAATAAAATTTTATTAATAATTAAACAGTCGATTAACACATGATATTGGCCCTAAATCTTTGCTTAATTAATTAATTAATACGACGGTCCATCTGATGGTGCAACGCGCGCATAAATTTAAAACATTTGGGTCACGGGGGAATTTTGCGGCACATTCTTCGGCACAACGTACGAAACTATTTTTATTCTTATTTTGTTATTATTATTAATAACAAACATAAAGGAATGTAAAACATTTGCAAAAATTATTTTTTAGATCTTTTTAAATTGTGTTAATGAAATTATTACATTTTAAAGTTTTTTCTCCATAAAATAAATTATTAAGAAAAACTTTATATTATTTTTATAAAATAATTTAGCGAAAAATTACATTCCTTATATTTTAATTTTATAAGTTTAAAGATTGAACTATAAAATGGAAAAAAAAAAAAAATCCAATTGTACTCAATTTAGCTTATAGCTCAAAGAATAAATTAATAAGTTGTATTCAATTTAATAACATCTTGTAGAATTTAGTTTGTTTTTGTATTTTTTTAAAATGGAAGAAAGACATAATTTCTAATTGAAAATGCATAAAATACACAAGTGTTGAAAATAAATTATTGGAAAAAGATACTTAGTCTCTAATTTTCTACTGCTCTTTTTTCTATATATTTATAATTATATATTTTTTTATAACATATAAAGGTTGCACAACAAACTTTATTCAATTATATGTTTGTATATGTAACGACCCCGAAAATTTAAAAAGAAATGCATATAATAATTTGAGTGCAGAAGTGAAATAAATGTTAAAATTAACATCCTTTACACGATAACTCAAAAGTACTAACAAATATCACGAAACAAATTTTCTGAAAGAAATACAAAAAATAAAAGAAACTATATAGTATCTAAGGTTTACTCGTAGCCTTTTTGCGGATCGGGCTCGGGAACTGAGTCCTCCTGATATGAAATAGTTAAATAAGGGGTGAGATACACTAACTCAGTAAGGACATCATAATATATTGTCGTCACAGAAGTAAATGTTGGTATAAAACCAAAAACAACAAATTGAGCACAAATTTTAAAAAAATTCATTTATCAATAATCAAATAATTTACCGTCCACTTACCGCAGTGAGATTTATAAAAAACAAACTATGGAAACAATAACATTATAAATATCATGATTTCATATATAATATGCAACATAACACATATTATACTTTTATATTCAAATCATCAAACAACAATTACTCTTTTTTATCAGCCTACTAGTATCCATGCACCGCTACACGCGAACCCTTTCTATTAACAATCTTAATTCTAGGGTCGTCCCCATACCCTGTCCGATATGAGCGCCAAGACATTAAACCTCAATACTCCGTCTGGTATGAGCGCCAAATGATCAAGTTTCCATACCCCATCCGGTATGAGACAACGTTCACGGTAGGGTTCCCTATGAACCCGGTACGTCCATCATCTCCCAAGATATCTAGTGAGGTTGTCACCTTATCTGTTTATTAGATCACATCCATTTCTTATTTATTCTTAATCTCAGTTACCAAATTAAATACAATCACATAAATAATAAACATGTACCCGGTAATACAATCATATCTTAAATTTAAAAATCACACAGTGGTCAAGTAATACGTAATTCATGCATTTAAAACTCTAAAACGAGATACCATCATGCTTTTAAACTGTAAAATAAATCAACGGGAATCAACAGAGAACAATGTCTGATTTCGGGCTCCATTAGCAATCTGTAATTAATTTTGCATATTTATCTAACTTGTACAAAAGACCGTATTATTATTTCTTCAAACTTCATATCTATGATAGGAAATAGGGTGATGGGTTCTTACTTGATTCGACGACGAAAACTAGATGGTTACTGCGCCTACGGGTGGTCCCTAGGTTCTCTGAATTTTTCTTCGTGAACTAAAACGCGCTTACGGTATCTACAAGTGTTCCATATAAACCCAAAAATCATACCCAGGGCCCACTCGGCCAATTTCAGAATTCTGACACGGCGGCTCCGCCGTGCTCCGGCGATAGCGCCGCCGCCCGCAACGGCGATCTGCCTCGGTTTGGCTGTTTTCGGTCGTTTTCAGCCGAACTTGCACTGGTTCTTGCGAGAAAACACTCTTAAGGCCCTCGGTGGACCGAAAAAATATAGAAAATCGAAACTCATTAGCGGTGGGGCTCTCTGATGCGGCGGCTCCTCCGGCTCACGTTACAGTTGGGTGTTTTACTTCGGTCAACCTGTAGAGAAGGAAACGGTGGTCACAACGGTGGAAAAATCACATCGAACAAGAATCGGGAAGTGCCTCATCGGATGCATTTTCCAAAACATCCCGCCGCGCCGCCGCCGAGCTTTGGCGGTATTTTTCGGCCAATCAGCCGGTTCTTTCACTCCGATTTGGTCATGGGTGCGTTTAAAATTGAATTTCGTGCAAGAAATTTTTTTTTACCTCGTTTAGCGGTCGAAAATTGCTCCAGTACGGCGACAGGTGGCGGCGATCGGCTCCCCGGCGGCTGGGCTATCTTCTTCGGCGAGGGGCTCTGGTGGCTATGGTTAGGGTTTGGGTGCGGATGAGGTTATTTATACCCATTCGCTTTTGATCTGGGCCACCCATCGCTTTTAATCTGTACCAT